AACCAAAGTTACAAAACTAGACATAAACAAGCTAAGAGAATCATAATGAAAATACAGGAAGTAAAACTACTCAATATTTACAACAAAAGGGACCTAGATTCCTGTAAGGTAAAAGCAAGTCCACTGGCGTAACTTGGAGGGGTTGCAACCTTATCTTTAGCATTACGATCTGCGCTCGAGGGTTTGGATGCAGGGCATGGGTTGATTGCGCCGACAACGGGCGCGCGCTGGGGCGCAACTTGCTGAGCGGCGTTGTTGGCATCTGCATGCGACTGGGCGCTGGCGAGACCTATTGATGGGGCAACAGACACAGGCGCACTTGTCACTTAGCGCGGCCAAAACCACGAGGTCGTCCATGGCGCTAGGCGTTGGGAGGCTTGCTAAGACGCCATGGGTGCGTCCAAGGGGTCATGGGGCATGGTTGGAAAGCTTGTCTTCCTTCAACAACTTGTCCTATTACTGATTCACCAGATTTATTACATAAACAGTTGGAACATCCAATTTATCAAAACTTCAAAAAATGGTACCTGGTTTGTCTCACTTGTTCACTCTAGAAAGTGAGTCAAGTCAGTTCGGTAAACATACTCGCTCCCATTTCCTTAAAGTATTTGTCATCCCTATTTCAGCGGTTTATGAACTCTCATCGGATCATTTATCAAACATCCTGTCCATATACATCTCAACAAAATGGGATAGCTGAAAGAAAGAATAGTCATCTCATTGAAACTGCTCGTACCCTACTCATATAATGTCATGTTCCTTTGCGTTTTTTTTTTGTCGGGGGAGGGGTTTGTAATTCTCACATCTTATTATCTTATTAATCATATGTCATCCCCAGTGATCCAGAATCAAGTTCCATTCTTTGTCTTGTTTCCCCACTCACCTTTATTCTCTTTTCCACCCTTTGTTTTCAGGAGCAGTGTGTTGTTCATAACCTTACTCCAGGAAAAGATAAGTTAGCTCCTCGTGCTCTTAAGTGCATATTTCTGGGTTACTTGAGAACGCAAAAGGTATATCGATGCTATTCACCTAACCTCCAACGGTGTCTTATGTTTGCTAATGTTACCTTCTTTGAAGCCAGCCATACTTCACATGTCCAGCCGTCCAGGTAATCACTTAGATATTTTTGAGGTGTTACTAGTTCCATCTTTTGGAGATTCAATCACTATCTCCCATTCATCTTCCTCCACAACTCCAGCTCCAACACCTACAGCTTCAATTCCATCAATTACCGCTCTAATTCCAGCTCCACCACCTATAGCTCCAGTTCTATCACCTATAGCTCCAGTTCCATCACCTAGTCCAGTTCAACCTTTTACAGCTCCACCACTCCTGACTTATCATCGCCGTCTAGCATCAAGTCCAGTGTATCGGATCCTTCACCTACTGTGGACTTGTCTCCTTCTAGTCTACCGATCACACTTCGAAAGGTATTAGATCCATTCTTAATCTCAATCCCCATTATATTGGTTTGAGTTATTATCATTTATCGTCACCCCATTATGCCTTTGTGTATCTTTGTCCTCTATTTCTATCCCTAAGTCCACAAGTGAAGCGTTATCTCATCCTGGATGGCGACAAAATACGATCAAAGAGATGACATCTTTACATGCTAATAGTAAATGGGAGCTTGATTCTCTACCTTTAAGGACTTCCTAAACGAAGACACCAGGTCACTGAAACGAACACAAGGCTTTAGCAAGCCACCCAATGTAGGATGAATTACCTCTCATCCGTTCTAGCTACTCCACACTGGCCTTAAAAGCACCTACTTTTCTTTCTTTTTTGAGTGGGAGCGAGATACCCTCGAGCGTTGTATGGGTTGTGATATTTGTGGTAGCGGGGGTAGAACTCGAAAGGCTGGCCAAGGTTGTGTCCTTCCGAGCGGACGAGGTCGGCTCAGTGACCGAGGGCTTGCGTGGAGGCGGCATGCTAGTGGGTGTATGCAGTCAAAGTTGGTCCAGATGGTCAAATTGATCACCTTAAAGCCCGCCTCATTGCCAAAGGTTATACTCAAATAGTTAGGCTTGATTACAATGATATTTTATCTCCCGTGGCTAAAGTAATATTTGTCCATTTTTTCTATCCATGGTTCTTGTTCGCCATTGGCCTCTCTATCAATTGGACATTAAGAATGTTTTTCTCCACAATGACCTTCAAAATGAAGTTTACATGGAACAACCACCTAGTTTGTTGATCAGGGAAGTCTAGTGGCCTTGTATGTCGGTTGTGATGGTCACTCTATGGTTTGAAATAGTCTGCTCGAGCATGGTTTGGTAAGTTTAGCACAATTGTTCAGGAGTTTGGCATGACCCGTAGTGAAGCTAATCATTCTGAGTTTTATCGGCATTCTTCTCAAAATCTGTGTATTTATTTGGTCGTTTATGTTGACGATATAGTTATTACAGGGAATAATCACGATAGTATCACTAGTTTGAAGCAACATCTCTTTCAGCACTTCCAGAATAAGGATCTAGGCACATTGAAGTATTTTCTAAGTATTGAGGTCACTCAACCAACTTAGGTATTGTTATTTTACAGCAGAAGTATGCATTAGACATTCTTGAGGAGACAAGAATGACAGGTTGTAGACACATTGACACTTCTATGGATCCGAATGTTAAACTTCTACCAAGACAAGGGGAGACTCTTAGTGATCCTGCAAGATATAGGCGGTTCATTGGTAAGTTGAATACCTCACAGTAACTGGACCTGATATCTCCTTTCAAGTGAGTGTTGTAAGTCAGTTTATGGATTCTCCCAGTAATAGTTGGTGGAATAGAGTTATAAAATCAGCCCCAAGCAAAAGAGTATTGTTCGAGAATCGAAGATCGAGGTCATGAGCAGATCGTGGGCTACACAGATGCTGATTGGGCAGGATCACCTTTTCGTAGACGTTCTACGTCTGGATATTGTGTTTTAGTATGAGATAATTTGGTGTCTTGGAAAAGCAAGAAACATAATGTGGTTGCTCGATCTAGTGCAGAAGCAAAATATCGAGCAATGGCTATAGCAACATATGAGCTAGTTTGGATGAACAGTTGCTCAAGGAGTTAAAATTTGGTGAAATCAACCATATAAAACTTGTGTGTGATAATCAAGTTGCCCTTAATATTGCATCAAATCTGGTGTTCCATGAAAGGACTAAACACATTCAAATTAACTGTCATTTCATCAAAAAAAAAGATATTCTAAGGAGATATTGCTATAAAGTTTGTGAAGTCGAATGATCAGCTTGCATTTTCACCAAGTCCCTCACTGATCCTCGTATTAGTTACATATGTAACAAGCTCGGTATATACAATCTGTATGCACTGGCTTGAGGGGGAGTGTTAGATAGTTAATATATTTGTAAATAATTATAGTCCCACATGGAATAGGATTAGTATATGTATTGTGTATTATTATAAATAAGGGTCAATTAGTGTATATATTATGTATTGTTATAAATAAGGGTTGAATAGTGTATGTATTGTGTATTGTAAAGGCTCGGGTAAAGACGTTGATCATCACTTTTTGCATTGTAGAGTGGCTTCACGACTATGGATGATGGTCCTTAATTGGTTTGGTTTACATTGGGTGATGTCGGGCACAGTAAAAGAGGCGTTATATAGTTGGGCCTACAAGAGTGGGAAGAGAAGTCCAAGGGTTTGGAAGGTTGTTCCTTTAGCCATTTTGTAGGTCATATGGAAAGAGAGGAGAGGTTTTCAAGGGGTTGAGATTGACTTTGTAAAGTTGCAAAACAGTCCCTTGTCTTTAGTTTCTTTTCGGTGTACCTTGAGGTGCTATTTGTATAGATGATTGGGTATCTATCGGTGAGAACCATGTTTTGGTGTAGGTTCTCTTTTTTGGCATACTGTTTGTATACGGGGTTCTCCCATTTTTGTGTTAATAAAATTATTTACCTTATCTTTTTTTTCTTTTCATTTAAAAGAGTAGTTAGTTGCTCGTACATGGATTGTTTCAATTTGATTCTCCGGGACTTTTTGTAGGACTACTGCTCGAAGTAATTTCCTCCAAATTCTCTTTTCTTCCTATTTTATTATCAACAAAAATTGTGTTGTCAACAAACAGATGTAAGAAAAGATGCCACCCTCTTATGTAAAGGAAAAAGAAGTCCACTTAAATACCTTTGCATATCAGAGGGAAGCAACCAACAAAAAATCCTTAGCTCATACCATAAAGACTCTGAGTGGCCTCAGTCTCAGAGACATTCCAATACAAAAAGCTAATATGGGACACCCCATAGAATTTTACAACTCCAAGCAGTTTCCCCATTATTGTATAAAAAATATTTATGTCAAAAGCAAATAGAAGTGTTCTTATGAGGTCGAAATAACTCAGAACAGGCATAAGGTTAAGCATGACCCTCAAACCAAAGAAGGCAAACCATACTGCGGGTCAGTCAGAACATAGGTTGACAATGAACTGAAAGACCCTGCTCAGGCCAGGATTGACCTGCACCAGGTTTTCTATTAACCTAGGTTGACAATCAGGTTTTACATAGTTGCAAGAGTTCCCGTTTACAAGGAAATTAGAATATTGGGTTTCTCCGCACCATTATACAGAGTACGGACTACACCTGAATCTTGGTCAGTGCAAAGAGATAGAGAGGGAGGATCAATCAGTAGATTTTTTTATGTCTCTAATCAGATATACGTGAATCAAATCCTTTTAAAATTTATAAAGAGAGAGAAAGAGAGAGAGAGAAGATAAATTAAATACTCAAGAACAAGTAAGATTTGCAGAATCTAGTTGCCGGTGAAGAGTTAATGACAATTATTGATTAATAGAGCCACATGCCAGTATTTATCATCATATTATTAGCATTTTTCACTGGGTTTGTTGTTGTTGTCGCTGTATATCAGGTCGTCATATCTTAACCTTTTCCGTAAAACGACTTCGTTTGGGGGTTTGAAACAGTCATTGCTTATTCTTTTCTAGTTATTGATTGACCACCGAAAGACATGGGTTGACGTATATAGTCAAGATGAACTTACCCAACTTAACAAACAACGCAAAATTTTTCTGTGCCTGCCCTGGAGTTGAATGCTACTGTCAAAACTCTTATCACTCTGACGATGAAGGAACTCAAGAACCACTGAAGTATGCGAGAGAAGCTGCTCCTTGCATAAAAATATACATGTAAGAAATAGAAGCTGGATAAAGTGCAGCAGTGCTTTCCAAAGCATCAACTTTTCCAAAAAATGTGCAGCTCTAAAGAGAGTTCTAAACCTCTCGACCATACTCGCGTCGCTGAGCCGAACTAGTTCTGTGATCAGTATTCTGATCTTCCACAACTTCTGGAAGGACTGTCAGCATTTCCAAGACAGCAATGGTGCCTTCATCATGGTTTTCCAAACTTTGGAGACTGCAAAAGAGCTTCTCAATTGGTTGGCCATGCTCTACAGCGTGAAGCATGAGCGCAGAGAGAGCAAGACAAATTTGAGTCAACAGCTGTTTCCAACAAAGTAAACATCTCAGCAAAATAAATAATTAATATTTTTAACAACAATAAAATTTTGAGCAAGCAGACACTTGAATCACCTGTGGAGGGCCTAAACAAAATTTCTTAGCAGCCAATAGAAGAGCATTTAGCAGAGCATCCTTTGCTCCCATTTGCAAGTAGCTTCCTTCATTTTGTATCTGTAAGCAATAAGGTATGAGCAACCTCAAAAAGCAGAAATAAGAGACATGACTCTTCCTTTCCTAAATCCAGCACAGTACCAACATAATGAAAGTATGATCAGGTGCCATTCTGAAATATGACAAGTTAAGAGGCTATTCTTTACCAGCCAACGTCACAATGAAACTTATTAACAAGACGCTAAATAACACTGAAGAAACAATGTAAGCAGCTTATGGCTAATGTACTGATATCACTTATGGTAAGTCAGAGATCCACAGAATAACGATACAGATCTACTCATAATCACGCAATCTAAGTTACAGAAACTAGGGTTAGAAGCAGCATGTGTTAAGTCTTCCCCAACCATAGTGTTACCCCGCCCCACCCTACCTATCTCCTCATTTACATTTTCAGGTTTTCTTTGTTTTTTAACAAATTAAAAATAATCCTTTTATCCTTTTTTATGCATTTAAAATCATCTCCAGTTTACTTTAGATTTTTTAATTTATTATTTTGTGATTTTTCATTATTGCTCCTTTAAATTGCAACCAAAATAACTTGAAAAGAGTAAAATCTTGATTATTCTATCGAGCTTGGGAATTTCCAGTAATTATGAGTGTATACAACTTTGTTAAATTACTGATTCTAGGCACGATTTCATCTACTTTCCAAATCAAACCATACCTAATCAAATTGAATTGACCCTAATTAATGTAAATCTTGTTCAAATCTCTAAGCTACCCCTAAAGTTGTAGCGCACACAAGTTTTCTATAAATGTATTCAGCTTGGGGTCCTCAAAGGGATTTAATAAGAACACCTGCTAAAGTTTATTTGAGTTTGTAAAGTTTGTGGCAATGTGTATGAACTTAATTGTTTACCTAATAATATAGCAATACACCTCCATATGTTTATCCTTTCATGAAAAACTGCATTCATATTACTTTATCAAAAAAGAATGAAAAACTGCATTCTTGGCTATGTATAGGGAAGCTTGATTGTCATATATATGTATAGGGAAGCTTGATTGTCATATATATGTATAGGGAAGCTTGATTGTCATATATTACCTTCATTTATTCTTGGCTATGTATAGGGAAGCTTGATTGTCATATATTACCTTCATTTATTTAACTTCAATGCGAATTAACTCTAGGAGAACTTGTTTTAACCAGATAAGCTCGCAGGTTACAAAGATCATAGCTCGATGTTCTGCGCTCTACAAAGCGCTAACACTTTGTCTTTTACTTTTCTAAGAGTTCGGGTTTCCTCCATCATCACACTGTATCAAGAAGTAGAACGTCTATCTGATAGAGAATTATCAGAATGCCCAACATCTAATTGCCCATGGTCAGACCATATCCAGGTGTGAATTATTTTGTCCCAATGACCACTATACGGAGCTTGTAGAAGCCAATTGACCATACTTACTGCAATGAAATCTTTGTTTCGTGTTCTATAGAAGCCAATGACCATACTTACTGCAAAGACATGGGATGTCATCGTTTAAAGGGGATAGATTACTCCAACTAAAAAGGTTCTTAAGACATTTGGCTTTCAGGGAACTACTGGGAGTTGAAATGCCATCAAAGTATCTACGATTTTTTTCTGTCCAAGAACACCAAAATATACATGCTGGGGATATCGGTTAGATCTTCTTGATGGTTCTGTCAACTTTCCAATAGCTCCAACTTTCAACTGCTCCTTTATCTCTTGGGGGATTGTCCAAATAAATGCCAAAAACTGAAAGGAACATGTGCCGCAGATCAGCAGCCACTTTACAATGTAAGAATAAATTGTTCTATTGATTCTGAACTATCCAGGCACAGCTATCCTCTCTTCACCACCTGAAAATTCCTTCTACGTAGGTTGTCTTGGGTCAAAATAGCACATTTGAGGGTTGTCTATGGGAAGCACATGACCTTTATAGGGAGTTTTGTCTTCCTTATAAGCTTCCATGGCCAAAGCTCAATTACTTTATTAAGTGCACACAGCTTGTTGTATCTTGCCCTAAATGAATAAGAGCCACCACTAAGGCCTCTCAGAAATAAATTATTTTACCTATCAAAAAAAATGAGCTACCAATGAGGTTGCCCCACCTTAGGTTGTCTTAGGTTTGTGTGCTCATTTGGAAGCTTTACAGAACTTTGAGATCAAAGAGTTCACCAAGTTCGTGTTTCTGCATGTTTCTCCTTAAGTGCAGATCCCTATATGTTCCTTGAGCTATTTGGGAGTAAGGTCAACTACTATCTGATAAAGGGAAGGATCAGAGTCTTTTAGGGGCTGATTGTGAAGTCACTTGTCCTTCCAAAATTTAACTAGGTGCCATTTCCAACCCTGAAGGACACATCATGAAAAAAATCATCTTTCAAACGGTAGATATGCTTCCAGAGACCAACTCCATGTGGGGATCTGTTCTGTTTGGAACACCAATGGTCTTTCTTCATGTATTTAGCATTCATTATTTCCTTCCATAAACGAGTTCCTTCCTAACCATATCTCCACCACCACTTCAAGAGCAAACTCTTATTGTGTTTGGCCAAGTCTCTAACACCCAGTCCACACCTTGCTTCTTAGGAAGAATTACCCTTAACAACTTCACCGGGAGAAATTTGTGGTTTGCATTATTTCCTTTCTATAGACAACATCTTCTAATTTTGTCCAGTTGCCTTTGGACCTTCCTTGGCATAGGGAAGGGAGGGTGACATGATTTATGTAGGCAAACTATCCAGGACACTATTGATTAATGCCAGTTTTCTACTCATAGAGAGGTAGTGCATTTTCCATGTTGTTAATCTTTTCTCCACCTTCTCAATAACTCCATTCTAAACTTTAGATGCTTTGCACTTGGCTTCCAGCGGAAGGCATAGAAAAGAGCCAATTTTACCGACTACTATTTCAGCCATTTGTTCCAAGTTAGGCACTATATTCACAGGATATATCATGCCCTTCTGCATATTAATGTGCAGTCCTGAGATGACTTCAAAAATTAGTAATGTCAGATTCAGATATTACATCTATAATTTTTCTACCCCACAGAAGATTAAAGACTCATCCGCGTAGAGCAAATAAGACACTAATTGAGTTTACAGTGTTACCGCCCACCTTGAATCTTTTAATGCACTTTGTCTGCTTTGTTTGTCTAACATTTGCTCAAACCTTCCATGGCAAGGATAAAAAAAGAGGAAAGGGGATCTCCTCGTCTGATTCCTTTCTGTGGGGAAAAAAATCCAACTGAAGTTATGTTCACTAGGATTGTGACAGTAATGAGGCTGAATTTAATCTATCTGACCCATCTATCACCAAACCCTATTCCCTCAGTAATGACAGTAGATAGGACCAACTTATTTGATGCTTTCTCTATATTCAGCTTGCAAAGGGTGCCAGAAAGACCACTTTTGAATCTCCCATTTAGTATCTCATTTGCTATAACTATTGCATCTTTAATCCATCTATTCTTCAAAAAAGCAGTTTGCTCTTCTCAAACTAGTTTCCCAATTACTATTTTAATCCTCTCAACGAGGAGTTTGGCAATTATCTTGTCGACACTTGCGATGAGACTTATGGGCCTGCCTGAAATCTCTGAGTTCTATAGCTCCTTTCCTTTTGGGAACTAGAGCAATAAAGGAGGCATTGATGTTTGATTTGACCATATAATAGTGTCGAAGGAAATGATTTAGAGCTCCCATAATGTTTGGTTTAATGAATTCACATGTTCTTTGGAAGAAAACAGTTATATATCCATCAGGCCAGGTCTTTTATCTAGTACACAAGATTTGACTGTTGCCAGCACCTTTTCCCCTCAAATGCTCTCTCTAACCATGCTTTCTCAGTTAGTGTTATGCTAGCCAAATTTTCAAGTTAGCATCAGGCCTCATTCTCATTGTAAAGACCTTGATAGAACCTCAATATTTCTGTCATGGTGGCATCTTTGTCTTCACTGATCTCTTCACCTATGTTTAATTTATCTATACAGTTGTTCCTTCTGTAAAAAATGGCCATTTTCTGAAAGTACTTAGTGTCTTGTCTCCTTCTTTGAGCTAGAGGCACCTGAATTTTCGCCTCAACGCCATCTGTTGTACTTTAAATTTCAATTGCATTGGTTACTCCTTTTCTGCTTCAGTCAAAGATCTACTCTCAGTTGCTTGTTCCAGTAATGCAAGATCCTCAAGTAACTTATGTTTTTGTGCATCCAATTACCAAAAGTCTCTCTATTCTAAACAGTGATGCCCTTTTTCAAACTTCTCAGTTTTTGTATTAAAGTGAAGTCTAGATTGCCCCAATTGTGTAGCACTGCCACCCCCTTTGAAAAGGTTTGATTGTTTGAAATTGTCATTCCACTCGGGGAATATTAGGAATCTCTCTATCCTCACAAGGTAGGGGTAAGATCTACGTACACTCTACCTCCCCAGACCCCACAGCGTGGGATATTACTGGGTATGTTGTTGTTGTTCTATTCTTGAAGCTTGCATGGAGTCTTCCCCTCTGAACCATGTGTAACGTGCTCCTTGAAGAGGAAGATCAATGATGCACGGGTCTTGAATAGTGTCAGAGAATGATTTCATTGCCCTGAACCCTAAGTAATATAAATCGTGCAATAATATCAATAAACCTGATATACTCAGACATCATGACCTTGCAATGTACGAAAAATTATAGACTAACCCAAGTTTGTCACCGAATGTTAAGCATAGAATTCAAAGATAATAATTAAAATGCACCAAACAACACTACGACCGACATCAACAATCTGCAAGTTTGAGATAATCACAACCGCATTATCTCCCTGCCAAAAATAAAAGGAAGAAGAACAAGGAAAATTTGATAACTTAACCGAGATGCTCAAAATCAAGATGCAATTGTTTCACAACCATTACATTCCCTCTCTGCTATCAGAAGAATTACATGACCATCAATGAATATACAGAAAAGGAGATACTATCGAGTGTACTGGGTATCCGCCCCATTACAACTTTACAAACAATAAGTTGTGCCCCTTTTGAAGTGTTTCCCTACCCCGTCCGGCTAAGATTTCGCCCCGCTTGCTGTCCAATTGGGAAACACCAACCTTAATGCATATAAATGAGGAGAAGGATTCATATGCAAAATAGAAAGTAAAGGGGGAGTAGAAGAATCTATTGGCCTCTGACCTTTCGCTTGAGAATCTGAGCGGCAAAAAATTCGACTTCAAAGTCAGAAACAAATTGCTGATGATAATTGGATGTCAGGATGGACGTGGCGACTTCCCAAGCAGCATCGGTCTGCTGAAACTGTACTAGCCATTGATTAGCAGCAACACGGTTGCACGATTGGCTATCGTGATTTAGCACGTGAACAGCTTGCGCGACCTTCATTTGCAGCTCCATTTGTCTTCGTCTCCAACTCTAAGAAAGCAACGGACATGACTCAATCATCAAAAACCAACGGCGACAGAACGATACCTAACTAACAGGGTCACAAGTCTCGGAAGGCCACAACCCATTTCAAGTATTGCGCTGTGCCTGTGCCCCTTATTTTTTTAATGGGTCAAGAGCCTGTTAACCCATTTTTAGATGACGGGAGTGTTTGGCAAAAAAGAAAATAACTTTAAAAAGTTAAAATTGGCTTAAAAAAAGCCAAAAGCCACAAGTCGGCTGATTTTGACTTTTTTTTTTTTTTAGCTTATAACTGTTTTTGACCAATTATTTTACCCGCTTATCCCTAATAATATTTATTATTCCAAAAATGTCTTTCACAAACTTTTGAAATAATTATAATATCCAACTCAAACTTTTAAAATTTGTCAAAATGGTGAACTTATTTTGACTTTAATATCTCTTACATAGATTGTACTTAAGTTTGATTTTTTTTTCTTCTAAGAATTTAAACTCGTGTGCAACCAACAGTTCTAGTTGCATTGTAATTTCTAATTAACTATACGTACAACTTTCAAATAATTTTAAAAAGTACAAGTTTATTTTATTTTGATTTCCTAAATATTAGGAATTTTTACATAGTTCAAATAAGAAATTTAATAATAAAATGTGATAGTCATTTCATATATTTTTCCAGTAACTTGGAATTTTCAAGAAACAAATAAAAAATTTACATGGTTGAAAGAAGTGAAAAATAATTTATATTAATAAGTTTGAAATAAAATATTATAGTAATAAGCTTCTTTATAGTGTTAACAGCTTTAAGGATATTTCAGTCATTTTAATAGAAAAGGTGTTTATCAACACTTGTTTACCAAACATTTCAACAGCTTTTTTCAGCTCCAGCACTTTTATCCAAACACATAACTGCTTGTTTATAAAACCAGCTCCAGCACGTGTGCTTAAAAACTACTTTTTTAAGCCAATCCAAACGAGCTCTAAGCTTTTAAGATTTTTAGTGTTAAAATTAGGTAAATACTTAGCCACAACGGATGTTTACACCAAATTATATTAACTCGCTATGGTTAATTAATTTAATTAGATGAGAATGCATGTAATTTACCATGGTTAAATGATTGAAATTCATATGCAAGATACGTGTCATATATCTATTGGTTTGGTGTAAACACCCGGTGCGGATAAGTTTTTTCTGTTAAAATTATGGATTTTTATATATAAATTCATATCCACATCCGAAATTATGGGTTCAATTGAACCCGTAGCCAAAAGGCTACATACGCCCCTGTTCGCATTATTACCTTATTTTTTTCTCTTAACTTTTCCTTCCTTATTATTAAATAATCATATTCTATCATTTATCTTACTTTTTTATATAACTAGTTTCTCGGTACGTGCGTTGCCATGTTTATCGAGTTCATTAATGCACATTATTGCAATCTAACATTAAAATTATCAAAATAAAGTTTTAAGCAAGTATAAGTATACATGAAAGAATATAATATAAATTTTAGTGAATGATCATTGAGGATTGTCTTCGATTGATTTATTTATTCGAACCTACAAAGATGAACAATTAAAGTGTAATTACATACATATGATTTAAATACTTACCTAATACTTCCTTGTAGACGATATTCCTCGTGTATGTTCCTTCCATCCACTTTGGTTGGTCTGTCATAATTAGCACTCTTGTTGTCGATATTGATACCTCTCTTGAAAGTGCAACGTAAAGTTGTCCATGTGAGAAAACATGTTGTGGTTGATACAATCCAACATTGAGTATTGTTTGACCTTGTGCTTTATTTATTGTCATGGCAAAACATAAGCGTACAGGGAATTGTTTCCGCACAAATTTGAAAGGATATCCTTCATTTTCAAGTGGACTAAGTTGTATTCTTGGAATAAAAATATGTTTCTTAGCAGATTGACCCGTTGTAATTTCGGCATGTATAATATTATTGTCAAATCCTCTACATATCATCCTTGTACCATTGCATAAACCATTTGAAGGGTCTAAATTTCTAAGTAGCATGATGGGTGCATTTTCTTTCAAAACTAACCTATTTATAGAAATAGAAATATGTTTAATTTTATTTGTTTTTGTAAATTAAAAAGTACACACACACAC